TCAGCCAACTCACCCCTCGAACAGAGCTGGGTCCAGAAAACCCAGGATCTGGCATTACACGCCCAGTAATAGTATCGAAAAACAGGAAGGCCTAGGCCCCCCTCCGCAGTAGGTTTCTGTAGGTGAGATTTTGAAATTCGAGGGTGTTTACCAGCCCAGACAAAAGGGATTATAATAGAGTCTATCTTCTTAAAAAAGGAAGCAGTGAGATAAATGGGTATATTCTGAAAAAGATAGGTAAATTTCGGAAGGAGCACCATCTTGACAGCATTGATGCGACCAATCAATGAAAGAGGAAGGTGCCTCCACATGTCAGCCATGGATTTAATTTTGTTAATTAAATCCAAAAAATTATGTTTAAAAAGGAGTTTAGGGTCTCTAGTGATATTTATCCCCAGATACTCGAAATGACTAGTGGAAACTTTAAATGGCAGATTGCTAAGAAAAGCAGCGTTCAGACCATCTGAGAGAGGCATAAAAAGACTTTTATCCCAATTAATGGAAAAACCAGAAAGCTTACGAAATTTATTAATAAGAGTAAGAAGTGGAGAAAGAGAGACTGTGATGTCTGAAAGGGTCAGGATAACATCGTCCGCATACAGACCAATGGGACTATCTGTAGCGTGGTCTGAAATGCCAGAGATCGATGGATGGGTCCTGATGGAAATAGCAAGGGGTTCCATGGCCAGTGCAAATAGTAATGGAGAAAGACAACACCCCTGTCTGGTTCCGCGATGCAATAAAAAAGAAGCAGACCTGTCGTGATTAGTCAAAACTGAGGATCTTGGCTGAGCGTAAAGCATTTTTAGTAAAGTCATAAATTTATCGCCAAAGCCAAATTTTTGGAGAACCATGAACAAATAGTCCCATTCAATTTGGTCGAATGCCTGTTGGGCATCTAGTGAAATAACTGCGGAGGCAGGAAGGTTGGTCTGGTACATAACACTTAAGAGTCGGCGTGTGTTTGAAAAGGAATACCTATTAGGGATAAAGCCAGTCTGGTCGGGATGGATAAGATGAGCTATGTGTTTATTTAAACGAGTAGCTAGTACTTTGGCTATAATTTTTTGGTCACTATTTAGTAAGCTTAAAGGGCGGTATGAGGCAACATTAGAGCAATCCCTGCCCTTCTTAAGGAGAAGACAGATATGAGCATCATACAAACTCTGGGGAAACACTCCCTCCACCAAAGAAGAGTTTAACATACGCAGAAGAAGAGGGGCAACCAGATCCAAATAACATTTATAGAAATCTATTCCAAACCCATCCGGTCCACAAGCCCTATCAGGAGATAAAGAACGTATCGCGGATTTAATTTTTTCAATAGTAAAACTAGAGTCCAAGTATGCCCTGGCGGATTCATCCAGGACAGGCACATTTAAATTGTTTAAAAAGACTTTAATATCCGTGCTGGTAGCACTACTCTTGGAGGTGTATAAATCACTGTAATAATTGAAAAAGGCATCATTAATGAGTTTAGGATCAGTTAACAGTTGGCCAGAAAGAGAAGTTACTTTATGAATAGCTCTATCTGCCAGAGTGCCTTTTATTTGTCTAGAAAGCAATCTATCAGGTTTGTCCGCCAGTTCAAAATGCTTTTGTTTAAGTTTGCGAATGCAATTACCGACTTGTTCACCAAGCATGTGGTTATATTCAGATTTTATCTTCAGAATAGCATTAAGTATATTTTCATCATTTGTATTCTGGTACCTGTCCTCCAAAGCAGACAGATCAGCCTGAATATCTGCAAAACGCTGTGATCTGGCCCTTTTAGCAGAAGACTGATAAGAAATAATGTTGCCCCTCAGAACCACCTTAAATGACTCCCACAAGATTGAATCAGACACATCACCTTTGTCATTAAAAAAAAGAAAATCTGAAATTTTAGCCGAAATGAAGTTCTTAAGTTCTTGATCCGAATTGATGGGGGGGATAAACCTCCAGTTAAACGATGGGGCATGGAGGTTAAAGTGGATCTGAAGTAAGAGAGGGGCGTGATCTGAAATTAAGATCCCGTGATAGAGAGAATTGACTGTACGTGAAATCAATTTAGAATCAATTAAAAAGTGGTCAATTCTGGTAAAACTACCATGAGAAGGGGAAAAAAAAGGAGTATTTGCGATCGGACGGATGCTGGAGCCTCCAGATATCAACTAAGTTTAGTGACTTAATGAGATTATTTATAACAGACACTGATTTCAAAGGAGAAGCAACCTTATTGGAGGACCTATCCAACACTGGATCGAGATAACAGTTAAAGTCACCTCCTATAATCAAGTCCCTATTATTAAATTGTGAAATAATATCAAATATCTTGCAGAAAAAGTCGGGACAGTCACAATTTGGGGCATAAATATTCAAAAGGGCAACAGGGATGGAATTAATTTCGCCAGTGACAAGCACATACCTCCCCCCCGGATCTGCAATCATGGAGTTAAAAATAAATGGGATAGACTTGCGAATTAGGATTGCAACCCCTCTAGCCTTGGAAGAAAAATTAGCTTGGTAAACCTGAGACACCCAAGAAGATCTCAACCGTCTCTGCTCAGTTGGTTGAATATGAGTCTCCTGCAGAAAAACAATATCAGATGAAAGTGATTTTAGGTGTGAAAACACCTTCACTCTTTTAATAGCCTTACCAAGGCCTCTACAGTTCCAGGAAACAAAATTAATCGGACTCATGCTCGAGTTGAAAGTACTATTATTCTGCATTTATCACAACATAAAAAAAGCAGCTGACAGGGTAAACAAAAAAAAACACAGGCAACTTAACGGCAACAAGATAAAAACAAAAACAAAAACAGAAACCCCAAAACTCACCCTTGCCGCAACATGAACAAAGCGGCATATCCCTGAATCTAGAGTGGAGGCTGCCGGGTAACAGAGCAAAAAAAAAAAAAAAAAGAATCACAAATGGGCAATCCAAACCCAACACCCCATGTTTACCTCCAGAAATTGTAGAAAATAATTAGTGTGCACCAAAGCTTAATCAAACTAGCAAACTAACTAGCATGGAATGATTAACAAAGTCATTTATTATGAGACAAAGAATTGGCAAACTGCTCTGCATCAGCCAGTGAAGTGAAGGATTTCACAGTGTCATTTAAAGAGACTTGTAGCTTGGCAGGAAAACGCAGGGAACACTTGGCTCCAGCCTCCACCAGCCTCTTCCTCACGGTGTTAAAAGCCTGGCGCTGTGCTGAGACCTCTGCTGTGTAGTCTGGGAATATGAAAACTTTCTGGCCATGGTACATCAGCGGTGCTTGCTGTCAACTCAACCGTAGAATATTCATCACGTCGCGGTCGTTGTGGACCCTGGCGATGATAATCCGAGGGCGTTCATTAGGAAGTGGCTTTGGTCTCAGGGCACGATGCGCCCTATCAATTATTTTTTTTATTTTTTTTTTTAAAGATTTTTTGGCTCTAGTGGCCTTTAACGACAGTAGGTTGACAGGAAAGGGGGCAGAGATAGAGAGGGGGAGACCTGCGGGAAACGGCCGTGGGCCGGATTCGAACCCAGGACACCCGCTTACGAGCAGAGGCTCTGCACATGGGCCGCCCGCTCTAGCCATTAGGCTACGGCTGCGGCCCGCCCTATTAATTTTAACGGGCTTGGGAAAGTTATTCTGTCCCAGCAGCTCAGGGATAAATTTCGAAACAAATTCCGCCGGTCGATCCCCCTCTACACCTTCCCCGAGGCCAACAATCCGAATGTTTTGTCTGCGCGAGCAACCCTCCAAGTCGTCAACTTTTTTCTTAAGAAGGCCGTTAGCCGCCGCTAGCTCGCTATATGATGACTCCAGGGCCGAAACACGGGCATCGGTAGAGGTTAAAGCCGAGTCCATATCATCCAAACGGAGCCGAACCTCACCATGCTCTGTCTGCAGAGTTGTTAGACAAGCTTCAATGGAGTCCAGACGTCCTTCCAGTGATTTCTTGAGAGTATCCACGAGTGTGTAGACTTTAGAAAGATCATCCTTTTGGCTATTGACGGCGGCTAGTATGGTCTCGTTGCTAACAGCCGAGCACGCCTGAGCAGTCGACTTCTGGGCTTCGTCTTTCCTAGGCATGATGCAAAATGCCAAAACTAAAATAAACTGAAGAGATGAGTGCCAGCTACTCACTTTGTGACAAAGAAATAAATATATTTGGTGCGGTAAATATGTTTTAAATGAAGGTAGTGACACGGAGCGATGCAAAACACGACTACTCCATTACTGCACACTAGCGCCCCCCACCAATTGAACCTATTTTTCAATAGATTTGATACTGAGGCCCATCCCCCAAAAGTCTCTGCTGCTGACTACCAGACAACAACCATTCTACCTTCCCCCACTCCTCCTTCTCACTCCCTGTGTTCTCCTCACCACCTACATTCACACCCACCTACTCCACCCCTCCCCCCGCTCTACATCGTGTCCTTCACAACATGAGGACCTCGCCCTCCCCCTCCCCCAACTGTCACCTTTTCAGTGCCCCTCACATCTGACCTGGTGTAAATGGAACGACTTTTCAGCTATGCAGAAAGTCCCGTTCATTAGAATCAGGTGTGCTGGAGCAGGGAAACTTGGAAAACATGCAGGGCAGGGTGCCTTGAGGACCAGGATTGGGAAACACCGCTCGAGAGAGTCCCTGTGCTGTGGAAGACGTCTTGCCCCGTTCCTGTGCCAACGACGCAGCGACCTGACGGCCCTCAGGACTACAGGCCGGTGACACTGACGTCCCACATCATGAAGACCTTTGAGAGGCTAGTTCTGGAACAGCTAAGGCCTATGGTCAGGCCCTTCACATATCCACTACAGTTTGCTTACCAGCCCCGCCTGGGAGTTGAGGACAACATCATCTACCTGCTAAACAGAGTCCGCACTCATCTGGACAAGCCAGCGAGCACTGTGAGAATCATGTTCTTGATTTCTCCAGTGCTTTCAACACCATCCGTCCGGCTCTACTGGGTGAGAAGATGACGGCGATGCAGGTGGATGCCCCCATCGTGTCCTGGATTGTCGATTATCTGACGACAGACCACAGTATGTACGCCTACAGAACTGTGTGTCTGACAGGGTGGTCAGCAACACTGGGGCCCCTCAGGGGACTGTCCTCTCTCCATTCCTCTTCACCTCAGACTTCAGCTATTGCAGTGAGTCCTGCCACCATCAGAAGTTTTCTGACGACTCAGCAATAGTTGGCTGCATTGAAAGGGGTGATGAGGGTGAATATAGGACTGTGGTGTGCAACTTTGTCACTTAAAGTGAGCTGAACCATCTGCAGCTCAATGTGAAAAAGACTGAGGAGTCAATAGTGGATCTGAGGAGGGAGAAAACACCGGTGAGCCCTGTTTCCATTCAGAGGTTCCCTGCAGACACTGTAGAGGAGTATAAGTACCTGGGGGTGTACTTAAATAATAAACTGGACTGGACAAGAAACACTCAGGCGGTCTACAAAAAAGACCAAAGCCGACTCTTCTTCCTGAGGAAGCTGATGTCTTTTAACATCTGTCAGATGATGCTGAGGATGTTTTATGAGTCTGTTGTGGCCAGTGCGATCTTCTTTACTTTCACATGCTGGGGCAGTGGGCTGAAGGTCGCAGACAGCAACAGACTTAACAAACTGATTAGGAAGGCCAGTTATGTCATGGGGGAGGAGCTGGATACTCTGACAACCGTGGCAGAGAGGATGATGCTGTCCAGGCTTCAGTCCATATTGGACAATGTATCACACCCTCTCTACCACACACTGGCCCAGCAGAGGAGCTCCTTTAGCAGAAGACTCCTCTCACCCAGATGCACCAATGAGCGCCACCGGAAATCATTCCTGCCTGTGATCATCAGGCCCCCCCTCTGTAAATTCTTCCCTCTGGGATTATTGAAGTATTTCTGATTCTGAGAAATTGATCATGCTAAATCTCATAAAGGGGAGATTTATTAACCCCCACGGAAATATTATTATATCATACTGTTGCCGGACGTAACCTTTCCTTTGGATTAGTGATAGGTTAAAGTTATAACTAATTACTGTGAGCAGTTGTTGTTTTTTGTTATTGCCTTCATATCTGTAGTCCTTCCTCAGCTAAAGTTCTAAAGGATGGAAAATTAAACATGAAGTAATTATTTCTAGCTATGCCAAAGTAGTGTTTAATTAACCAGCCCCCTTTACTAATAGGTAGGTCTACTTTGGAATTTATTCTCCCATATATTATGTGAAGAGAAATAAAATAAGGAAAGTGCAGCTTTTGTATTTTACTTGTGAAATTGCGAAAGGTGAATTTGGAACGGACTGCCAACCTGCTCAGGGTGTACAGCAACTGAATCGTTATTGTGGGAAATTGAAAGATGATGAAGAATCTTACTCGGGATCCGAATGAAACTTTTTTACAATTAGTTTTTGAAAGATCTGCCAATATTTTTCTTATTAATATGTTTTGAAAATGATTTGATCTGACCGACACAGTTACAAACAAAGCTACAAAATTAGTCTCGCATTTTTTTTTTTTTTGCATTATTTCGGGCGCCGCAAAGTGGCATTCCAGCTGGCGCATGCGCAGTTGAACAGTCGCAGACACACTAGCCTCAATAGCAGCGGTAGCCATGGCCGACGAGAAGCCAAAGGTGAGGCCAGAATTTGTATGAAATGTTCTTTTTCTGTGTAAACTTTTGTTTAGGGATATTTCGGGATAGCAACATTTAAACTCAACTTTAAAGATAGTTCACTGGAGTTATGTTTTAAAACACTTCTATTTAGGTACGAACAAACGCACCAGCTAGCAAGCTGGGAGGTAAAATAAGCATAATAAGCTAACGCGGCCAGTCAGTCAATGGCAAATCGAGGGAAATAATATTTTCCGGAATATTACAGGATTTTTTTCCCCCGATATCATGTCATATGTTAAGGATCAGAATATTATTTAAACTATTGTTTCCTTCCTGTTGACTGAAACATTAACTGTTTACCCGCAGAGAATTGAAGCGTGCCATCATGTCGGGTTCGGTCTAAAATCTAAACCTTCCAGTGTAAAATAGATGGGTTGTATAGCTTAAATACATCTATGTATGTATTTTTTATTACCGTAGTTTAAAATGATGGTTACATTGTTAATGATGACTGGCCGTTGAGCATCCATCTAAGTTGTAGGCCAGATCGTTGACATGCTAATGCTAACGTGTGAAGTTGAAATTTGGCTCCTTTCTACTCACTGTAAATACATCCATTGGGAGGATGAGAGGAATCAATTTAGACATGTTTTGTTTTTCAGTCCAATTTGTGCTAAATATCAAAATGCGTTTCACCCAGATGGAAACACTGAAATTTGACATCTATCTGTGAAAGCTCCTCTAATTTTTCTTGTTTTTATGCCTCTAGGAGGGAGTGAAGACCGAGAACAATGAGCACATCAACCTGAAGGTAGCAGGGCAGGATGGCTCAGTGGTGCAGTTCAAGATCAAAAGGCACACTCCTCTTAGCAAACTGATGAAAGCATATTGTGAACGGCAGGTGAGGCTGCTACAAACATTTACCGTCAATTGTGAAAATCCATGTATGAATTCGTGGCTTGTTTTATATAATTGCAAACATTTGGGGGGCTGCTGTTTCCAAAGAAGCTAATGCTTACAAAATTATAATCTTCACTTTATACGTTAAATTTTTTTAGTGTTTTTAATGTTATGTCCTTCTGTCTCACTACACAGGGGCTGTCAATGAGGCAAATAAGATTCCGATTTGATGGTCAGCCTATCAATGAAACTGACACACCTTCGCAGGTGAGATTGTGCAGTCTTGGTTAGCTCAGATTCGCTGTTTAAATCCTCATAATTGTCATCTTGAACCCAGAGGGACCATTTAAAATAGATCTCTGAAGATCACATTTTGGAATCCAAAACAGCATGTGTGTATGATCAGGCTAGGGGTGTCGGACACCTTATTCTGATTAATGGAGAGCTATTCAAAATTTTGTTAAGCTCTGCACATTTCTTCTAATGTGGTATTGATGTGATTAGGGTGTGTATTTATTTTCTATACCTATATAATCCTGAGAAAATTAGTAGTGCATCACAGGCATTGGCTTTATTTTAGCTGACTAATTAATATGATGGATATACTCCACTATATACTAAAAACCACCCATGTTTAGTATGTGTACTAAATACACCCATGTTAAGTATGGAGCACACCTCTTAATATGATTTAAGTGTTTTTATTGCTTCAAGTGTTTGATTATTTTTCATGAAAAAAAAGCGAAGAATCTATGATAAATTACTAAGTTATTTCTATGGGAAAATATTGACCTTATACTTGTATACAATATTATTTTAAACATTTAGTTTATTAAACATTAAGTAAAAGTCAACCCTTATGACCAGAACTTGGTGTTGAATTTAAAACATAGACATGTTTAACTAAATGATAACCGGGGACTTCCCTGATGACATTTTTGACGTGAAGATCTAGAGTTGTGGGTGCTCTTTGAATAGTATATGTTACAGTTGTAAAGTAACCAACACGTTGGAAATCAGTTCACTGTGAGAACGAGTAATCAGTTTATTCTAATCTATTGCCAGGTACTGGATCGGTGAAATCTGATCTAACTGATTTTTTAAAAGAATAGTCAGTTGAACTCATTTGTGTGTTGGCTTAGTCTAAAAATGATGAGTTCTACATTATGGGTCTGTTAGATCCACTTTAATTATAGGTTCAAATGTTTTAGTTTTTGTATTTAGAAAGTTTTTTTCTAGATCGTTTTAACAAAATATTGGCTTTTATTCTGTATGCCTCTTTGTTCATCTCCAAATAATGGAGGCTGCAGAGGACAGTTTTATTTTTTTCTATAGTTGAAATGTTAAATGGTGCGTAAATGCTTTTTAGAGATTGACAAGTCATGTAACAGATCAAACTTCCTTTGCTGGATAGAGCACCCCTTTGCTGAGAGTCTGAAGTTTATATCTGAGATAAGGTCAGAGATAAATTATTCTTTGTAGAAGCTCTTAATATATTTATATTTTAATCAAAACACATTAACCAATCAGAGTAACTGAGAATAAACTAGAGTTGTTTAATTTATCCTTAGAGCAGGTGTTCGTAAGAGATCTTGGCTGACCTAAAGTTAGTCTTTGTGTCTCAACTATGGCCTGCTGACATTTTAATGATGTTTTACAGCTAGAAATGGAGGATGAAGACACGATTGATGTGTTCCAACAGCAAACCGGAGGCTCTCCTCTTTAAAGACTGTTTCCTATGAACATCCCTACCTCCCCTTTTTGTCACCAACCATCACAACCAGTCCTCATACCATCCACTGATGCAAAATGCTAAAAGACAGCAGGACAATTCATGTAGTCTTTTATCACTCTGGCTTTCAACCTGTCTCAATTGTGCAGTATAGATAGACACATTCAAGCTGCAGTGGCTTTAAATGTGATCAACATAAGTTTTTCTCTCTTTAAAAAAATCCCCAACAGTTGGAAACAACTCTGATCCTGTCTTTTTTTTTTATTTTTATTTTTTTTTTTGCTTTTATGCTAATTTCACTGAGGTTTTGAATCAGATTCATTAATTAAACCCGTGTTTTGATTTCACTGACATCTGTTATGAAAATGTATTATTGAAATAAATTGAGTTTTTTGTACAAAAAAATCCTGTTTTTTAATTTTGTAATTGATCAAAATCCACCTTATATTCCCAACATTGTGTCCAAAGTTCTCAAAGCTTTTAGACTGCAATGTTTGAACTTTAAATCATTAAAGAAGTCATTTACAGATTTAAATAATTTATTGACTTTTCTTCAGAAAAGTTTGTTTTGGACTTTATTTTTTTTATTTACTTTATTTTTTCCAGACATTTTTCTGTTGGTTTTATCTATACTTCCTTATTCTGTAGCTCAATTATCATAAAAAATTATTAGCTTATTTAGGATATTTGATCAGTTTTGATATGTATATTGTCACAAGTCTACAAATAACCACAATTGTGTGAAAAACATTTTTGGACTGAACCTTTGATTCTATTGATTATAGTTGTAATTATTTTTTCTGTTTCGGCTATTTAAAACATGCGATTCTTATCTTCCAGTATATATTCTTAGGTATACATTGAAACTGAGCTAACCATGACAATCAGTTATTCACATTGAGTTTGAATCCTTGTCTGGCACAAAATCTTGACATATACAGTAACTTCTTTTGATGTATTCCTTGGAAAATGAAAACCTTAAGCGACACCTCAAAATGTCGAAATTACCTATTTGAATTAGTTTATCCTTTCTCCACCTTTTGTTGGGGGCCACGTTTCATGGCGGTCAGAAGCAACCACTTTTTAGAGGACATTTGTCAAACTCAAGGCCAGCGGGCCACATCCGGCTCGCCATAGAATTATATCCGGCTCGCGAGATCATTTTATTTTTATATACTGTGTATTCTTTATGCTTTTAACGGCCCAGTGATATGAAGCCCCAACAACACAGACTACAAATCCCAAGATGCAGTGCAATTGCTGTCAACGGCAGCCGCGGTTCATGTCCGCGGTCTCTTTATGTATACAACGCTAATATCAAATCAATATCAACAATGGCCAAGAGTAACATTGATTCTGAAAACCGAGCTGTTCAAAGCCGATGGGGAGATGAGTTTATGTTACTGAAATTCCAGGTAAACCAGTGTGTCTCCTCGCATCCCAGCAGACGTTTTTCACCAAAGCGAAATCACAAAGAGAATTATCTTTGAAAGTGGCCGAAGAGGACAGGACGGCCGTTTACCGAGCGGGAATTTGGGAAGAATTGTATAATGAAAGTGTGCGATGTCGTTTATCCAGATAGTAGCACATATCTGTGCGAACAGCTGTTCTCCGTGAGGATAATTAACAAAACGTCACACAGGAGTTGCCTCACTGATGAACAACTGCAATCCATCCTGAGAATCTTCACAACACAACCCCAAAAATAAACTAACTTGTTGCAAAGAAAATATGGCAAGTATCAAGCTCAGATTAAATAGGACAATAAAATGTAATGTTATGATTTAACTTTTACTTTCAATGATATTTTAAATTGATATTTTCTGATTTTTTTATATTCCAGCATGTACAGATTTTGAACGTATATAGTATAATATATTTAATGAAGAGCAAAATATAAGTTCAGTTAATTCAAGTTTAAATGTATTTATTTTGGAATGATATCCTGTATTTTAATTCACATTAATGGTTGAAAAACATAAATATTTAGTCTATTCAATAATTGTTTATACCTTTTGGCCCGTGACATTAAGTGTGCTTTGAGTTTTGGACCCCTGCGCATTTGAGTTTGACACCCCTGTCTCAGGGTTTGCGAAGTCCCTTTTTTAAAACTACTAACTTACTGTAAATAGACTGGTTCAGGTATTTTTAAGAAATGTGAAGTACAGGCTGGTTTCAGATTTTCCTCTGAAGTAATATAAAAACAGGGGAAAAAAAGCTTAAGAATACACATTTTATCCATTTAGATGTGTTTTACAAATTAGCTATTGAACTAATTTTAGCATCATTATTCCATTTTTCCTTTCTTTTATTTTAAGATGGAATTGATAGAATTTAAGTGAGGATTCCATATTTTTCGTTTTTCTGTTTTAGTGGTAGATGTTTGCGATTATAAATATGTGTAGTTTATGTGTGTGTGTACAATTTGAGCTAATTGACCATTACAACTTCTGCATAAATCGTTTTTCAAGTCAGACGCTGTACTACTCGCTACACTTGTCATGCCACTGCAATGAGAAATGTTTGAGGAAAAAACGGAAATAAAGACTCTTAATTTCACAATAACAACAATCGTCTGATTAATTATTCATGATATAAAGAAAAAATCTTTATTTCAGAATCCCTCATTTTATTTTATGGTCGATTTAATGGTTATGAAGTTTTTATTTAGCTAATATGGATAGTAAATATCACTAATCTTTAATTATTAATGTGAAGATTTATTTTGAATCGTAACCGGAAGTGCAACTATTGTCTTGCTAGTTTCCTACTCGAAAGAAGCAGGTGGATGTAGATTTAGAAGTGTTAGCTAGCATAGACAACGATGAGACGGTGAAGTATTGTTCATAGAGGTGTATTTAACTTGTCTGCCGATAATTAAACCATTACTCTATAACATTACGTCTATAAATGACGACTACCACAACGTTTCAAGGAATGGAGCCCGGTGCTAAAAGCAGTTCCAGGTAACAGGCATCGTTCAGATCGTTATAAACCCCGTTAGCTACTATATAGTGGATAAGTTCAGCATCTTCTGACTTGAACCTTTATAATTCCAAACATATTTACCTATATGGTCCTGTTTTTTGTCAATAGCTTCGACTTAGTTTGAAATACCCTAAATTGAAAATAATCAGTATCAGTACCACACCTCAGGATGAGCGGTGTGACATATTGACGTTAGCTTGCTATCTAGCTAGAAAGCCTGAATGAACCGTCCTTTTGTCAAGATGCCGCGTAGTTAACAGCTACTGACATGGCATCTTGGTAATAATACCGCTTCAACTCAGTCACATTGAGTTTATATATATATATATATATATATATATATATATATTACTGCTTTTAGTGTCATTCGTAAAAGGTTGTGGCACATCATCTTTTTCACCCCAGTCGGGTGGGGCAGATTTCAGATCTGTTATCTTATTGAAGACATGTTCAATATATAAATATAAATTTGACTTTAATTAATAAATTAACCAATCCTTGTTGTCAGGACTTTTTCTAAAGAGACAATAATAATTGCTGGCAAAATAGCTGTGTACATGATTTATTTATTTTTAGCTCCCTGGATGATGTCCTTCATTGCTGTTGCCCTTTGCGCTAGTCACAGAACCAAATTCTTAACATATTAACAGACTATGGTTGTTGGATCTTACTTCTATTGAGTTGTTTCATTATTTGTTAAAATTGCTCCCTTTTTGCTTAATTTTTCCCACATAATTTGTGATCTGAACATAGGTGGAGGAAATGATAAAGGTTGCAAATTTAGTACAATTTTCTAACAAAATTCTAGCTTTTAATGTTACATCTTTTAAAACAGTTTTATTTGATCCATGTTTGTGTTTTGTGCAATATAACGTTGACTAAACTGTCAGAAAATCTAACCTCTTTTATATCATGCAAACATTTGGTGTCACTCTTTCCTTCTTTATGTTTCAGGAAATATTATGTTAAATGTGTTTCACAGCATCTTTTAACTTCTCACATAAAACCAGCTATGCTTTGATTGCTGGGTGTTAGCCAGGTGATTTATAGGAACTGGAAAATTCAGAAGAGGCTGTTTGGTGGATATACTAAAGGACATTAATAAAAAATCATCTCTGCCTCTGCGGTCTGACCTGATTAGCAAAGAAAGCCAACCAAACCCTTTCTGCCTTTTTTTTTAAATGGATCGCCTCCTTTTTCTGTGTCCATGCCTTTTGGGTATAAACTGGCTATATAGGAGTATATTTAATGAATGCAGGGGGGAAATGCCAGGAGACTTTGCTGTATAATAGCTATAATGTGTGAGAGATGTCAAGTTCTAATTTGTTTGTAGGCAACTAAGGGCAAACAACAAAACAAAAAAAAGTAAATCAGCTGATGCCACCCCGATAATAGGAATCCTTTTTACATAAAATCCCCCCTACTGGCTTTACTGCTTGAGTTATTATGCTTCATGTTCAGAGACTGAAAGTCCAGGTAAACTTGAAGCCAAGGTTTAAATGCTGACTCATCCTTTTCTTTCCAGGATTTTGCGCCCACCTGGTGGTGGTTCCAATATTTCGCTTGGTGCAGATGAAGAGAAGCCTCCTGTCCGGAAAAACAAAATGGCCTCCAGTGTATTTGCCGAGCCTGAAGACCCTTATGCCAATCGAAGGAACAACCCACCAGGTAAAGACTACTACTCCTAACACTCTATTCATGCAAAGTCTTAGAACTCAGTTGGTAACATTTCTCACGTTTCATTTTCTTCCAGTTTATCTTAACTGTTCTGTAAGGAGTCATACCAGAGTCAACCAGAGCATAAAACAAATTTTTGCTTGAAAACTAAAATTATAGAATTTAATAATAATTGAAATAAAAGAATAACAAAAGAATATCATGTTCGATCATCGTAAATCAGAATGCCTTCATGATGTGGCTTATCCTTTTTAAAAAAAACTTTTTATAGGGCTAGGAAATTATTAAAATTTTTAATCGGGTTAATCTCATGAATTTCTTTTGGCTAATATAGTTTTATCATGTTGTTATGCACATGATTTACTAAATGATGAAGAAGTGTATATCAGAGAGTAAGGTACTGTTTAATGGAAAAAGCCCAATAATCATTATGCTATTATCTGATAAAATAAGGTACTTTTAATGCGGTACTCTGTTCATACATAAGAAATGTACAGTAGATATAAACATAATCTAATCATATAATTTTGAATAAAAAACAAACCCAAAGTTCTTAACTGCTGCTAGGGAGTAACACATTAGTCCCACTTTTATTATTTGTACCAGTATTACTTGTATTTTGTTTAAAGGCTACAAATTTAATCTTGAAACCATAACGGAGTAGTGATGCTAATTTGACTTAAAGGAAAAAAGGCCCTAAGATTTTTTTTATAGAACATCTTCTTTATCTTATCTAAAAATCTTTTGTCAAAGTTAGTCCGTGAGGCTGAGGCTCTTTTTGAAATCTTTTTAGATTTCTTGATCTTTCTTGATATTAGGAAGGCTTCACACTGTGGGTTGGCCTTTACTTGACAAGATCAAGTCACATCTTGTGATGTCTGGTAGATTTGCTGACAGTTTAGTATGTCTCCTTCCTCCCTTTTACTTCTGTTTTTTTGGAGAAGTGAATTTGAGCTTGACTGACGGTATCATGGTATGATGTTTGTCACTGTTGAAGCCTGCTTTGTATGACATTTTTATGTACTATAATCGGAAAAATAGAATTGATCACAGACCCTAGTGCACTTGGCCGGATTTTAAAATTACAAGTTACAAAAATTTAAAGACCTAAGAACAGGTCAGGGGCAGGTTTTCAGCAGCTCAGTGCAAGGCATTCTTATTAACAAGCCTGACCATTAATCCTTTTTTTGGCACAGTTAATAGACCAAGTTTCTATTCTATAGGGAACTGCAGAGAAGCCCACACAATGGGAAGTAAGAGTTTATCATGAATTGGAATAAACTAGCCAAGGGTTTTTTTGTAGGGAGACATTTGTTGTCATTATCAAAAAATTCAGTCATCAAACCTACTCATAAATGTCCTCTAAAAGGCATGGAAAAATGATTAGATAAAGAAACATCGTCACACATTGATTTTGGGCTAAATTTAGGGTTCCAAGTCATCAGAAAAACTACAGTTGCCCCAGTTGTCCTTTCCACTTTCATACAGGTTGTCATACTGTCAATCTATGAGTGAAACAACCCTTTGTTGTAGTGGATATACCTTGTATGTCCAGAACCTTGCGGAAACTGTCTTGAACCCCAATGCTTCCTATAATGGAGGCAAGCCAATGAAGATAAAAAGCAAAACACAAAAGTTACTAAACTAGACAAATACCAGACAAATTTATTGGCTGAAAATAACAAGGGGCAAATCACGGAAATCCACAAATCGAAGCAGGCCATACGCCCTCCAGATGTAATATGGCAAATGAGATTACCCTATGTAGCTAAATTTAAATTTAATAAAATATAATTTAGTAGAGCAGGGCTGGCCAACTTGCGGAACCCCAGCCGTGTGCGGCTCTTTGCCCAGTTCAAACATGCATGCGCGTTGAATGAAAATACCTCAAAGTTTCCTAGTAGGAGCAGGATAATTTTAGTAAACGTTTCGTGTCAAATCTGCTCTCAAAATGGAAAAAAATTCACAGCAAAACAAAATATGAAGATGAAAACAGGACATCTTTAATAGCGGCAGAAGAATATGCCAGAAGACCACTAAGTAACATGCATATTAAAAGGAAAAAGGAATCACAAATTATTATATTTTTGTTTGAGGACTGTTATTATCAGGTCGGTGTGTGAAATTCACAATAAATCTGGCAGATCAAAGGTATGTGTTTGTGTGAGGAAGGGAGGGGGTGATGATGTGTATGATGTGGCTCTTTGCGGTAACACCGTATAAAATGTGGCTCTTGGTCTATGCCTGGTTGGCCACCCCTGTTGTAGAGGTTTAGTGCACCTGGTTTTCTTACCTTCCTGACTCCTATGAAAGCAGGTTTTGATTATGATCAACATGTTGGTCACTGTCAACTGTTTTGGCCTCGAGTATAAACTTTGTATAAGGAGTATAAAAGTTGTTCATATGCTGCTTTGGCTTAAAGATAAATTTAACATTATAACATTTTGATTATGTCTGAAGAGAGGCTGTACCTTATTTTGTACATGTATTGTCCATGTTTGTGACAGTCCTATTTCCCTCTGATCTACCCAGGAGGGAAGCCAACAGGGGTGCTGTGTGGTGAGCCTTCAGCCCCCCTAAGGAGAGGTGGAAATCAAACCGTCAATCACTCTGGAGAGGCTCCTCCTACAGTAAGAACATGCTGCGATCATGAGTTATGGGAAAATTTGAAGTGAAACCTCTTGATCTTCGTGTGAATCAGGGCACTGTGCTTTGAGGACCAGGTTTGGTCTTGCCAGAACTACCACCACAGTGATGCTCTATATTGTGTTGTTTGGAAACTAAAACCATCTATTTAATGTTATTTACCTTTTTATATGAGCTTAGTTGAGAGTCTCTGTGTTTGCATTTTACTGTCCCTTATGTTTGACTGAAAAGAAAAAAGGTAAAAAGATACAGGTGACGGTATCCATAAATTCAAAAAGCTCTGCAAAAGCCATACTGCTAGCTTTTGTGTGATGATATTGTTTTGTATCTTTGGGGATAAGAATGGTCATGTTTGTTGTGTGATGATCCAGATTATCTGGCTATTTCTTACACAGTGTGAAATAGAAAAATAACTTTTTATCCTGAATTTTATTTTAGGTTACCTTTGTGCTCTCATTTAAGGAATTGGTACGGCATGACAGCCAAATAGTGCAGTTTACTTTAAAGAAAGCATATTATGCTGTATTATTTTTCACAAGTTAGTAAAGATTATCTAAATAAATTGTGTGTGACATATTTTATTTGAATGAACACATACAGCAACTTACTATAAATCAATAATCCCCATTTACATGTATCCTTTTGAGATCTGTACTAATCAGAAACCCTTGTACTATGTTACTAATTGTAAAAGAAAGATAGCCTGAAAGCTCAGACACACATCAGACTCATGAAACTTATGAATGCCAAGTGCATTTCCTTCATGTGTAGTTTGATCAGAGATAATCTATGATTTCCTCTTTGTGATACAGTCACATCGTAATTGTTTTGTAAACCTGTTTCAGGTGTTCAAGGAAAATACGTAAAATCTCTGGCAGGTTTGTAACACCATGGAAAATGTTTTTCTAGGCATGTTTAGGTTTCAGTTAGCTTACATGAAGAAGTGCTGCTATCTTCACAAGTTGTCTGTGAAAAATATTTAAAAGTGCCCGTTAGTATTCACATTTTTTGAGGATTTAGAAAAAGATGCCCCTTTCTTTTCAGTGACTTGTGACTTCTGACACCTAAAGATGTATACAACCCTTAATTTGTTAACACAGGAAAAATTATATATATAAAAAAGCAGAACTTTCCCGTATTTTCCCTTAAAGCAAACACATCTGGCACTTTTCCACTGTCAACTACTCAGGGCAGCAAAGCTTTACACAGTATTTGCCATCTTTCTGCTCTGCCAATTCGTAACAGAAAACCACCTAATTCATTATAGAGCTGTGCCCAGCCGAACCAATACTTCTATTTAGAAATTTTAGCCTCAAATTTTTTACATTATTTAAAGTAATCAGTTATCAAAGCAAACAAACATCTAATACATGTGCCTACATTTCTTTAGCCTAATGGCACAGTACAGGATAACTTATTTTTGTTTGTAACGTAAATTTAATACATTGCCCCTCTTTTACATCTTTTTGTTTATATTAGGATGTGGAGGACCCTGTGCGTGATAATGGTAAGCAGACATTCATCTCTATTCTTTTGACTCTTAAGTTTGCCTGGTCGGTCTCCTTTGTCAGATTTCAAAACATGTAAATGATACAAGAAAAAAAATGTTTGGATCAATAATGTATCCATTAAAAAAAAAAAAAAAGACTTGTTATTAAACATGGCTGGTTTTGGCAACTGTTACAGATAAACATGATGTTAAGTTCATATCTAGTGATCTCATGCTTCCCACATGATCAAGGAAAAAGGTTTTATAACCCTCTTTTACTTTTATTTGTCCATTTTATTCCTTATCTGCATCTTAGATGTTTCTTCTTCAGCTCATCTTGATTTGAGGTCTTATTGCAGGCATTACTGGGCCTACGGAAAGCTCAGCTGATCCTTACAGGTTACTGTTGTTGCCATGTTTATGCATTATAAATCATTTCAACTTTACTGAAGGTACTTGGAGAAATTTCCAGGACCACAAATGCAGAAGGCTTTCTGCACCTTGTGCTTTGCCATGGTTAGGATTAACTTGAATTTTTCCATTATGAGGTTTTACAGCATGTGGTTATATTTTTTTCTCAAAAAGTGAAGAACTCGCTCTCTGAACTGAAAAAAAATGACTTCTTACTAACATGATGAATTAATCCATGTTTGTGTCCAGAAAAATACCCCTTGGAACTAGAGGCTGCTCCAGAGCCGCAGGAAGAGCCCCCTCAGGCTGAGGAACCTGCTGCAGGGGTGCCATCTGGCCGCAGAAATCCCCCAGGGGGCAAGTCCAGCCTCATCCTTGGTTGAATGTCGCACACCCTTACCTCCACTCATCTCTGTGCCCGTCTTTGTCTTTTTTCCCCACTTCTAAACAAGACCCCTAAGTCATTTTTTGTACCACAGGAATCATCTGGATGTCAAGCAGTGTCATTCATAGCCCCAAGTGCATTGTTTTGATACCTTTTTTTAAAAGATATTTTCTACCGTTTTTATTGTTTGTTTAGTTTGACAGAAGCACTTTATGTAATCTTGTTACATGGTTCAAAGTTGGCCTTTGCCCCTGAAATTCAACCTTCCAGGAAGGGTACATGAGGCTCGCATTTCTCATTAAAGCCCATCATAAAACTCCCCTGACATTATTGCAGCAGCACAAACTGGAGGTGATGATAAAATAAATTTGTAGAACACAAGCAAAAAAAGGATTTTGTGTAGTGTTGATTTTTCTCCCAGCTTGCCTCTGCATGTCTGATTTGTATGAATGTGAAAATGACTTAACTGTGAAGATTTATCGAATTTATTTAACCTGTTTCATTGTTGTTTTTTATTTGTAGAATAACTGTTTCACTGTTGCATGAAAAGGAAAATCTTTTTACCACCTCTAGTATTAAAATCCACATAGAACCCACAAACAGTTCTAGAATTGTGCTCTTTAAACTCTAGACAGTCTTCGGTTAGGGTGTATAGGTTCAATGTCGGTAGGTTTGAGCAAGATTTTTTTTTCTATGTTTTTTTTCTATGTTGCCTTTGTAACCTTACAAAACTGTAACCCCACTAATCCATGTTTTTATAGATAAATTGATTCTGAAGTACACATGTTGGTCGAGTTGGTTCCAGTATAAAAAAATGTTGGGTTTCCAGATTACACTATAAATAAACACTTGCTTTTCTTTTTTTCATTTGCAATCCATGGAATGTTGTGGGTCCTGACTTCTAAGTGTTTCTGGTAAACCTGTCTTAGATTTGACAAGTGACCTTATTACTGCCCAGCCTTCTTTTCACCTCCTGAAGACAATTACTATTAGTGCAAACTGAAAACCTAAAGAAATATTTTTACAGGTTTCATGAGTCTATCTACGTCAAAACCAAAACACATCCTTCTGTACTCTTGAGTTTTGTGCACAACTGTTGCATCCGCCAGCTGTCGTGTGGGGGAAATATTCCATTACAGGTACCTGATGTTGTCTTTATGTGATGTTTTATTTTCTATTGTGTTTTAATGCAAGATATGTCTATTTGCATCCTTTACCAGTCCCTATTGCTGGATGTAAGTCACTGTGGAACATCTGAATACAAGAAATGGCACAAGAGGAAATTAACATAACATTAAAAATCACTTTTGATCATGGATTTTATTTTCTGTTTCCTCTATAAACACAAATTCTTTGTTTCTTTAGGGTATTTTTTTTCATAGATCTGGGATTGATAGCCTTTACTTCTGCTTCACTTTAGATTATATTTTAAGATACGTTTTGTAAAAAAAATGTACAGCATGTTTGTGGAAGTAATTAGGACGGTTTGTAACATAAGATGTTTCAAACTATTTAATGAGAGGTTTAAATAGAAATTAAAAAAGTAAATGCTACAGTCCTGCTAGAAATGTGTCTGAGTCAACACTCAACATTTAAAACTGTTTTGTGTGCACATGTTTTTTTAATTTTTTACTGTAATTCTGAGCAAACGTCTCTTTCTTGACTTTCTAGTTTCAACTGACACTCTGTGCTTGTTATAAGACGTTCTAGTCACATATGTAGATAAATAGATGTCTATCGTTCCAGTAGCCAATTGCGCTTCGTCGAGTCATACCGAAAGTGAAAGTACAGTTTAGATGACCCCGAGTAGTTGCAAACACAATACATTCTTCTTTTGACACAAAAGAGGACAGAATACTTAGAGGAGCTTGTGAGGTAAGTTCGACCCCCTGCCCCTTCACAGAGTATGTTGTATCTTCCGACAACATATTAGTACACCTCGCTTTGGAAGATAAACGAGGTTTGTGTGGCAGTTGGCTGGTGTGTCACATGTTACAGAATGTCGGCGCGACCTATTTAAGGAGTTAGTGAACGTTTAACTCGGTTACCAAAACTGAATGTATACCCTTATCAAGTTGGCCTTTTCCGAGCTATGTGCTTTGGACCGTTTTGTTGCACCTTGAGTGAAAAGAGGAACCACGGCGGTTTGATATAAATATAAACTCAGTCCATCTGAAAACCTTTGGACAAGACAAAATCATACATTTTTGGATTTTATTCTTGCTTTACGCAACTGTCATTGTATAAAGATGCATTCTGCCTTTTAAAAAACATTAAGGTATGCAGTCGTCGGTTCAAAACGAGACGCAGGGGTTCATACAGCTCACAGCCTTTTCGTTGTTTTACATGTTATATGTTGTGGTTGTATGGGAGACATATTTACGACGCTTCAAGGAACGACATGAATCTTTATCCTACTATAACTTTGACATCCACTCTCACAGAGTCATTCTTGGTCATTGCTTCCGTCTAGAAACACAACTGATATAAGCTCTCATGTTTTATCTGTTGTAGCTCATGGATACATGCAAATAGATTTGGTGTTAGGTTGTGATCCATTCAAATGGGTTCTTTTACTCTCAGGATTATGCAAATACAAACAAAAGGAACTTCACCAAGTCCAGACTGACAAGGTCTTTTGACAGCTTTTTGTCAGTAAGATGTACCCCATTTCAGTATCTCTATCCCACCGAATCTGTAGTCATTTGTGGTTTATTTGAGTTGACAGTAATTCGATTTTTTTACATAATTTGCATAATAATACATTCAATTTGATTAACTAAGCGTTTATGCAGTAAAACAAAAACCTTTGCTGTTCACTGTTGAGTAAATGGAGATGTTTTCATAGCACTGCTGTGGGAGATTTTTCAGATGCTATAAAAGTAATAAAAAAGCTACTTTCCCCCATAGTTTTTGTTAAGTAAAGTATTTTTAGATATGATAAAGCAGTTTATACAGACAAACAAAATGAGACCAGCTGAAAATCTTAATACTAATTGACCATTTTCTTCTATTTTTTGTTCTCCCCCTTATCACACCTGGTGACTGTGCAAGAATAAATCATGTTGAAATTGTGGACTCGTTTTCTATTAATGCAAGGGATTGTCTGTGCACAAGGATTCAGAACCACAAAGACTGGACCTTAGCCCGAGCTTAGGGAATATTGGTTTTAAAAAAAAAAGAAGAAAATCAGTTTATGTTAAAGGTTGTACAACAGAATACTAACAGATTGATCTGTGATTTCCCAATGGACTGTGGATTTTTTTTTCATTTTCTTTACTAACCCAAAGTAGAGAAGCAGAAATTCTTCTCTACTTTTGCCCAGAAAGTTGGTTGGGTCACCTTGTGCTATCTGAAGTCTTAAACTTTTATTCCAGATTACAGTTTTTTAACAACAGAGTAAAAAGAATCACTGTTAATTAGTGATGGATACTCTTTCTTCTTACGCCATAGTTTTTGCCACAGAAATATATATTTTTTAACTGAGTCAAAAAGGTTTTGTAGGTCTTCCCAACTGACTTGCAACTATTACGTATTACGTTTGTTTACTTAAGCTGTCTAAAGAAACAAAGTAATTATAACTTATTTGTGATGGAATCATGTAACCAGTGAAACATACTTAGAGAATATCTTGATATTTTTCTTAGACAAAATATAAAATGAACTAAAAGTTGATTTATTGGACACATCTGGAAAGACATCTGTCATGCTCTTCAGACAGTCCCTTTTGACACATCTCTTTTGAATTGCAGGACAATCTGTTAACAACCTCTTGGAAGCAGATGTGATATTTGACAATGCATGGAATTGTGTTCAATTCCCTTATGCACATATTCTTGCATCATTCTCCTGACACAGCTGCAGCAGCTGGGCTTCTTCTCTGGGAAAAATCTTTTTTACAAAGGAAAGTTTCATTCTTGAGTTGACTTTTTAACTCAAACTGAATGATTGATGCAACTTCCACTTGGCAGCCCTTCACTCTAATAGCGTTGGCATAATGGTTGCCTTTATGAATGGCAAGAGAAAAGAAATTTCAGTTTTGATCATGTGGTTGAATGGGTAGCAGGTTGATACAGCAGTTGTTTTCACATCCAGAAAGCTGCTTCTGGTTTCCATGCTTCCCTCCCATTTCCACCTTTCTCCAGTTGTACAAGCATATGCAGGTTAAGCCAGTATTTGCTTCATAACTGTAGTCAGTTATGACATAATGGTAAAGTTTTTGGATTCATAGCTTGTATAATGTAGGATGCAAATATTTATTGAAGACAGCTCCGTGTTAAACTGGTTACATATCTTAAAAAAGAATGATGAAACATCTGGCAAAAAAAATAAAGGTTAGGTTATTTAAATGTTGCCTAAATGTGACCTTTCCAGTGCTTAGTAAAAACAGTCTTTCAGAAATGGAAGACTTCATGTGATTGAACTGATTTCTTTAGCAGTGACATTAGCAGTGACAATACCACCTTGTAAAATGAAGACCACTATTGCTAAAAAAAGACATTACAATTTTGATTATAAAAGTGAAAGGGCTAGTAAATGGCTGGTCAGAAGATGGGGGCTTTTACTTTCTGTTCTATGTATGAGTGTGTATATTTTATGGAAAGTCCCTGCAAACCATCACAGCTGAAAACAACTTCTAGTTTTGAGGAAGCATGTCACGGCATGCATTGTGAAGGGATGTTTCCGAGGAGTGGCCTAACAGTGTGACCAAAAGGATCAGAGCACCTAAAATGTTGCCTGCATTTGCTTGTTTAGGACATTTTTATTAGAAAGAACCATCCCAGTTTGGCCACAAACCGAGAATCAGCTTTGAAAGCATCACATGTTCAGAAAGAATCATGCCATTTTTTCAATATTTGTATAAATAACTAATTTGTCTAACTAGGTAACTTCTTTAACTATTACGGGTTTCCCCCAGGAAATTGTGTGGTCAGCTTCTGTTAATGATGAACACTTTCTAAAATGCTTTTTGCGCCCTCTTTCCCAAGTCTAAATTTATCTCATGTTTTAAGGTGGATAGATTTTATTCCAAGAGTTTTAAACACTTGTTTTGCTTACCTGAGTTCCCTTAGCACCTTGCAATTGTATACACACAGATGACATCAAGTTGTCAAGGAGGTTTTAAAGTGAGGACGTTAGAACCTCACATGACCGCAGCAACAGAAACTGATATATTTTTAACTAAATTATAAGTTAGATGAATGAATATGTGCTCTCTTATGGCACATTTCCATTAGTACTTACTCAGCACGGGACAGCACAGCTGTACACAGTATTTTTGCATTTCCACTAGGGTCTGGCCCTATGAAACAGTTACAAGTTTAACAACTACTCAGATGGGGTTCCATCGCGGCAGACTAGGGCCTAGGACCCCACCTATTTAAAAAAAGAGGGCAACAATGAAGTTTTAATTTTATTATGTCTGTGACCATAAGCATTTTAAATTCCGAACAAATAAACCATCATGGTGGTCAAACATCTCTTAAATTTTGAATATACGTGTCTTGTCTTTTTAACATGATAACAGTAAAAATTTAGCTGTTCCACACATTTACAATCAACAGATGTGTCCAAACGATACTAGTATTAATTTTATTCTAATTTGAATAACTATTTTATGTCATTTCAGAAACAAAAACATGGCCTCAAGAGGGACCTTCATCATTTTAATTACTGTCATGTTTGCTGCAAAATCTGCTCAATGTAGGTTTAGTTCAGCTGTACCTTTTGCATAATCTGAAAATTTCAGAAGTGATAATATCATGTGACGTGCCTTTCATTTTTACTTCCTTTTTCCTTTGTTCAGCTTTTGTTAAAGTGGACTGTGAGGAAACAAACGTTGGGCAGCATGGTCATCAGTCAATGCTAAAATGCGTTGTCCAACCCACGCAGGACCAGGCTTCTGACTTTGAAATCCAGGCAATCATTTGGACAAAGGTTGAAATGGAAAAACCCCTGTTAGTTTATGATAACACGGATTTGAAGACAATGCTACAACGCTACAGGCTTGCTGAGGAACCCCAAAATAAGAAGCATAATGTGTCCCTGCTCATCACAGACACCAAGGCCGCCGATGATGGAGAGTACACTTGCACGGTGGTCACTGATGTCGGTGATAACACCCAGACAACAAGACTCACTGTGAGAGGTGAGGCTAGCGAACACTTTTTTCAAATTCATCACAAAGATTTGTTTTCACAACAATTGATTTGGAAAGTATATTTTTTCAGGAACAGGGTTTCCTGTTCAATGATAATGTATTACTTTGTGTCACATTTCATATCAAAATTTTATCGGCTGTTTTGCTAGGAGACCTTGTGTCTACATGTAATGGCAAATATCTTAGTAAACACTTTCTATTCATGCAGTTTATTGGTTTCATACATCATAGTGCAATATCCAACAATTTGATTCTGTTTTTGTTCTTCTTTGCTTTTATAGCTATTTATAGCGAACCCACAATAAAGCTTTCCAACGTAAAGAAGACACCCAATACTGACAAATCATTGATCTGTAAGTCTGAAGGTGGCTTCCCAAAAGGTGAACTCCGCTGGTTTGACGAACACGAAGTGGACTGGACCAAAAGTGCCACATTTGAAGCAAAAAAGATGGAGAATGGACTTTTTCAGCTCATCAGCTCACTTCCTTTGCTGCCACTTTCCACCTTCAACTCATATACCTGTGTAGTGTTCAACTCAAGTGGAATCGAAGTGCACAAGACCACAATCCAATTGGAACAAGTCTCACCAGGTACAGCATAGATCATTCTTTGATATTTTAGCCAGAGCCATCTGCAGCACTTATTTTTCTTTACGTCCTGGGAGGTATCTCTCCATATCAATGTTTAACTTGGAAAGAAAAAAAACAAGACTACCAACATTGTAGTGTTGTTGTTTCACTGGATAGAACCTACAAGATCCATAATCACCAGATCCATAATCAGACATCTGATAGTCTGATTGAAGTCTTGATAACAAGACTTTAATCTGTCCTCATCTAGGCGTGGCACCATGGTCCAGTCCAGATATAACAGGCCCATGTTCTTCATGGCATGGATATGTTGGCTTATTTTATTTTTTTTACATGGATGGTAACACACATCGAGCTTTTAATCCAAGCTCTCACAGCACGGACGAAACAATAATATTTTAATTTTATAAATCTGATACACTTTTGCAATGACTTTATTACAGCTCAGGCTGCCGTGTTTCCTTAAAAAACAGACAACAATCCTTAGGTGCAAAAGGAATGTTTCTGTATCCTGAAAATGCATTCCTCATTGTAACTTTTAAGTCATTTTTTTCTGTCAGTAAAAAACTAATCCTGTTTTTTATTTTTTTATTTGAATGATTTAGAGCCTGGAACAGGCACCAGGGATGATCTAATTCTACCCTCCAAAGTAGTTGCTCCTGTCGTGGTCATAGGATCCCTCATTGTAGGATTGCTGCTTTTATTGGTGTTTCTTAGAAGGCGATCACAACGTGAGTACACGCACACATGCCTTGGTTTTCTTTTGAACAAAATATGTCTTAATATGTATAAAAAACAGTTTAAATCACTTCTGATTTAGTTTAGTTATTTTCGATTACAGGCAAAGATCATCATTTGACCTACCTAAAACCAAAGTGAGAAACAAAGAGTATGTACCATAAAATTCCCAAGGAATACATAAACATCTTTAAAATGTCAGATGACTGCTAATATTTTTTGGTCTTTATTATTCGGTGTGTGCAAAAAAACAACTATTCTTATAACTGAAAAATGTATTTCTGGTGACTTAGAGCAAAAGTGTTTGAAACAAATGGAAACAGAATTGGTTTCTTTAAAATGATGGTAAAACTTGAACTGGAATTTGGATTTCACACTAAGTTTTAGCACATTTTTTAAATCAAGAGAAAATAGAAGAAAACTTTATGTACTTGTAGAACCATTAAATGACTTGTCATTACATTTCAATCCACGCTGAGTGTCATTGAAAGAGGCAACAATTACTGGAATTAGTAAAAGAATATAAAGTTACATCAGATTCATGTGAGGACATATTACTTACTAAACAAAGGGCTCTGTAGGAGGAAGTTGCCGCAAAAAACATGCAGGTGGAAAAACCTGCTCAACCACTCAGGCCACGCCCATAGGAAAGTACCTACTGCTGTAACACTAGGTGAAGCAATTTGTATCTACTGTGAAAATAGTTTCTTCTATCAGACAGTATTTTCCAAAGCATTTCATAATATATCCATTTTCTATACTGCTTATTCCCAACGCGGTTGCTGGAGCCTTTCCCAGCTGACAAAAGGCAAGAGGCAGGGTACACCCTGGACAGTTCACCAATTCATTGCAGGGTTGCATATAGACAAATGACCACATTTAGGTGTGTCCAATTAACCAAACCTTTTTGGATTGTGGGAGAATGCTCTGAGTACCCAGAGAGAACCCATGTTGACACAGGGAGAACATGCAAGTTTCCCATGGTCTCCTGGGGACTTGAACTGGGAGCCCTCTGGCTGTGACGGTGCTAACCACCACACCACGCAACACCGCATTTAATAAAATGTCACCCAAACAATTGAGTGAAAAGTCATTTTAAGTGGTGAAATGAAATATTTTTAAAGTGAGCGTTTTCTGTGTCTTTTTTTTTATTTCTAACAGTGGCCCGGAGGCCCTCTACAACACCCCTTATCAGTATGTTTATCCATGGCCACACTATTACGGCTATTACTAGACTTTTCTTACTTAGAATCAAGTAACCCACATTAATGGGAAGATTTGAAGGAAGGTTCAATCTATTTATTTCCGTCTCGACTTTTCTTCTAGCCTGTAGACCTCAGATTATATAGTGGTGTTCAATAACTTTTACAACTAATGAGGCTAGTCAGAATTTGACACAGTATGATTTCAAAATCAGTCACCACAGACAGGATTCTGACCTCATTCCAAAAGCATGTTTCAACATGGATTCAGCTGCATTTCCTTATTACAAATGTAGCAGAATCACATCACATGAAATCTCTGCTTTCATTGGACTAACTGGTTATCATTGGGTTTAGTCAGTGTATGAAGCTATCTTTAACAATGCTTTGATATTTCACAATATTACTTTTAACTTTTACTTGGTATACTACATTATCTGGGAAACAAGGTTTTAGTTACTAACACCTAACTTTCACTTGGGATCTGTCCATGCTGGAATGTTGTAATTTTAACTTTTTTAGGTTAATATCTGCTCATTATAGAAACAAAACTTATATATTGTCATCCTTTTTTCCCCAGCAGGTCATGGTCATGCTGTTCCGTCAAATGATAATGATGTTGAGGAGGGTATGTATATCAGCACAACAATGATTTGCCAGTCCAGAAAAAAACTTTAATTTATCCCAGAAGACAGATTTAGTAACTTTGGCCTTCAAAAATTATCACTGAAGAGGGTTAGATTAACTCTATTATGTCAGTTTTTTGGGGGGTTGTTGGCCATTGCTGTTGTCAGCTCACCTGGAGCTCTTTTCATTATAACTTGAACTATTTTTATTTTAGTAAGTCCAATTTTATTTGGAAAAAACGTACAAAAAGCTACACTAATATCCTAATTGTGACCTTACCTCTGATACTATGATACGATTGGGACTGTGTGTAGGATAAGCTTAGTAGCCTGCATATTAACACCACAGGTCACTTAAACAAATGGCATCTGACTAATCAGTTAATAAAACATGTTAAAAAAAAATGGTAACCCACTACTGGTCCTATTTGCACATCCCAAAAAGAAAGCTATTTGCACTGCTTTAACACACACAATGACCTGACATCATGGAATCTGCTCAAAAAATGTGCAGCTGTAACGTAGGTTGCATCTGAAATGTACCAAAGTCTTTTTTTTCACCACTGCAGAAGAAAGATACAAGTTCTGTTGTAAATTTACTTCACTTGCTGTGTCTGTCAAGTAAAGGGAGTAAAATATATACATTTAGAACCTCATAGGTGTAATTTTTTGCAACAATGTTCATGCTTGTAGTTGCATTTCAGATTTAAAACTTGTTTTTATTCAAAGAGATCTTTGTAACGTCCTGAGCTCATTTACTAAGCTGAACTGTGTTTCCAGGGAGATGAATGAAAAATGTTAAGCACCATGTCCTGAGGAAATCATAATGCTTTATGCTCAAAGATTTAACAGAATTATATTTTTTCTTCTAAATGTTTGCAGTAGTAGCCATAAGAATAAACTTTAAATTACTTAAAGCTTTTTTACTTTTTCTCACTCTGCAGGAGACTCTGCAATGGAATCCTAATTTACTGGCAACCTCTGAGATTAAGGCTTCCTTGTTTAGTGGGATCTGTTTTACTTTATCAATTCAAAATAACTATGTTTGATCAGTAATGACTTGTAGAAACATGGTTCATCAGAGGATCTTTAATCCCTCCAAGCAAACAGTTTTGAGGTATTGAGTCAAGTCTAAGTGAAATAATGCAAGTCAGTTGCAAATATATATGCTAAAGATACATTCATCATATGTCATGGTGAATACAGAACTTCAATAAAAGATGCTAGATCTCTGTTTAGCCATTGCTTTATTGTATTTAGTCAGAATCATAAATGAGTTCAGAAACGTTCTTTGCTGTCAGTAAGTTGCACGGAAAGATAAAACTGACAGATGGAACATCTCAGTTCCAGTAAAATGTTGCTAATCTCGTTTGTTTTATGCTGAGGGAATATTTGTTGTTGTATGGTGGTAGAGCAGGTCAGTCACCTGTTGTAAAATGTTCTGTAAGGAATATGCAAGAGAGATTCATGTTGGGCACAAAAACATAAGACTAGTCAACAAAATTGTTTCCAAAATGCTTGTTTAAAGGTTTAAAGGATACAAAACTTCAGTTATTGTTTGAATTATTTCCCAAATGGAAGTTACATCAAACTTATATACCTTTTATAAATGCACTATCTTCCTCCATTGTTTTGTTATTTTTTAATGTCAAAATTAAATAGACAATGGGACTTTCATTGTTTTATGGTGTTTGTTAGTTTTATGGTATATGATCACTGTGACTTTGGGACTTATGGTTATATACTCGATGCAATGACAAATTATTTGTATATTATTTCTTCCTTTCTTGACTTAGATATAATTTCTGTCTGCAGCATGAATTTCTCAGCTTCACTTTTGTAAACAGAGCAATTAGTTTAAACTGTCCATAAAAATTGTGACGCGCTATATCCCGTTAGAGATTTTACATTCATAATGTGTTCAATGATTCTGTTTTGTGTTGTTTGTGAGGAACACTGTTTCCATGATTTGTTCTTTCAGTTTTTTCCCCATCTACTGATATAATCTGTTATTAGACATCCTCTTCCTGTTGTTCTAAATCTCATACTTTTACTTTCACCTGAGATTTTTTATCTCTGCCAAAATGTACTAATGTTTGCCATGTAAAAGAACACTCAGGTAAATCCTGTACTAAGTAACTCATTAATAAAGGTAAAAAATCATTAACTATGTTAAGGCTTTTTATTTCTATTTTTGAATGCTTGGACTTCTGTTATTAACTGTCAAGAGAGTTCCGTGAAACAATTAATACAAACAATACTCATTTATTGGATATTTGAGTATTTTGCTCTAAGAATAGAAGACAAGTAAGAATCTGGCAACTATGTTAATCCTGCCATCTGCTGTTGAAATAGCAGTATGCTAATTTGAAGCTCTTGTGGAACATTTGCTCTTCCAAACATCCATTTGTTACCACTGAAGGGGGCGTGGGGAAAACTGGAGCCTATCCCAATGGGATATGGACAGTCTGCCAGCCCATCACAGGGCCACACACACAAGACATACACTCTCACACCTAAGGACAATTTTGGAATGTCCAATCAACCTAACATGCAAGTTTTTGGACTGTGAGAGGAAGCCAAAGAACCCAGAGACCAAGGGAGAACTCCACACAGAAAGGTCCTGGATCCCCTGGGACTTGAACCTAGAATGTTCTTGGTGTGAGGCGATGATGCTAACCACCACACCACCATACCACTCTTCAAAACATGTTTTTGATTAGTTTTTTTGTTATTTCTTAATTGTAAGATTTTGTATAGAGCTCCAAAATATTGGCATAACAACTATGTTTATTTTCTCCGCTGTGTCCTATATTTGGTTTTGCTCTAACTAGCTCACTCTCTCCAAAAACAATTTATGTAAACTGTGGACTTTACCTTGACCCTTGGAGTGAGTGTGTGTGCATAGTTTGAGAACAAAGACGTATCCCGCCTTCCAGTAACTTCCAATTGCAAAAACGTACTGGAGTAATTATTTGATACAATCAGTATACATGTTTCCTATGTGTAAAATGCTTTTATATTTTCCAATCTTTTTCATGTCTGTTTTTTTGTACTCAGATTTTTAATCTAATCCTTGAGAATATTTTGGTTTTAGACATGTGAATAAATCATAACAATTAAACCCAGTTTTATTGTGTTTCCTGCAATATCAACTCAACTCTACTCTCTCAACAGTTCTGTCTTTATAATATACATTATTTCATTATGAAGTTGTATTATTCCTGAACTGTAATCAATTATCAAGCTTTATCTAAATTCATAGTTCAAGTGTCCAGGATCAACACCACCAAATCACAGGGGGGACAGGCTTTAAGGCTTTGTAATGCCTGTCTGAGTTCTGTAAATCTGTACTGTCCATACAGTATCAAGTTTTAATTACAAATGTTACATTTAGAGCAACATTTCTGTTTTCAAGATGAATCTACAAAGAAATTGGATGTACTGATTGCATCTAAAGCTATATCAGCGAAGTTTGATCAGCACCAGTGCACATGAATGAGATTAAGAATGCCTAGACTACAGTATAAAATAAAACAAAGATTCTAGATGGCACCACATGGGTGGCCGTCTGCTGCGGTGGCTATGGACACATTGTGTAATTTAAATATTTGAATGTCAATGTTTCTGTGAAAACATTTATTTTCTTTTTTAATGAAAAGTCCTTCAGTTTAAAATGTATCTAGTTGAATAAAAAATAGGCAGTTGAGAGAGTTGCAGAAATCTCTAGGGTTATATCGCTGGGTTAAGATTTTTCAGATATTTTTATAACAAATTCTCCTTAACGCAAAGAAACACACAATACATCCAGAACTACTTCAGCAAGTTGCACTCTGGGATTCAATTAGATACGGCATTGGGATGTTACGTGGGTGTGCAGCTGATTGAGCCTTCAAAAGATTAGGTACAGAGAATATGTTGATCATAGCAGGAACAAAATGCAGAAAAAAGATAAGAAGACAAGCTTGGAACCAGGCTGCAACATAACAACTCTAACACCTTTCTACCTTTTAATTTAGACTTTACAGGCAGAAAAGACTGCAGAATAGGAGATTATGGTGAATAACTGGTAAAAAATGCTATTCCAAAACAGGTTATCTTCTGGACATGTGACTGAGGAGTGAATGTTTACTATGTTGTGTTTATTTGAAGAGGCATTGCAAAACTGCCAGGATTTGTGTAAAAAAAACATTAAGCATAGTGTCCACATAGTTCTTGACTATGATCTGCATACAATCCCCCCTATACACATAGCACTGCCCCCTGGTTGCCAAAGCCTGAAAAATACAACACTGTGTATCTTAACATTTGGCAAGATAGTTTTGTATTAATCCAGTATTTCTTAATGATGCAACAGCAACACATTTTGTGTATTTAGCAGTTTACCTTTGCATGTTTTTAACCCTCCTGTTATGTTCATTTTTTAGGTACAGCAATGCTGTTCCCGGGTCAGTTTGACCCGGTGCATGTTTAATTATCCAAAAGATGTCTGAAACCAAAAAAATCCTAACAAGCATTGTTAATATTTCATTACTAACTCCATTACTAACTACTCTATCAATATTTAGTGAAATGGTCTTTCTTACCTCTAACAGGTAATGATCCAATTATGATAATTCACTCGTTTTTTTTTTTTTAAACTGCATGTTCAAACTTTTTTTAATGTTTCACCACTTTATTACTTTAGAAAGACCAACATATAAAACACAATAGTTTTACACAACATTGAAACTAAATTTAAGATTGAGGGGCCCTGTCCTTGATTACCAGTAGCTCAGCAGGGAGATCAGCCCTGTTCTTTCGGACAGTTTTGACCATTGTGAGCTTTCTCTTTAGAAGCTCCTGACCCAAGTTGTAGTTTGTGAAAAAATTGTCACAGGTTATGTTCTGTCCCCTGAGACCCTGTGCCATATGGAGCACAACACTTGTGCCCTGATTCTTCTCTGGGGCTCCTCCAACCGGCTTTCCAGTGTAAACCTGCATGTTCAATGCATAGCTGGTGTTTGCTTCATATGCTGCCCATATTTAGCTGGTTTGGAAGGCATGTATTGCCTAAATGGGCAGCGACCTCTGAATGCCACCAGCCTTTCATCCACTGTGACATTAGGGCCTGGGTTATAGAGTAGTGTAAGTTGCTCTACCCACTTGTCCCGCACTGTCCAAATAGCTGCCAGCTTGTCTCTCTCCCGTCTACCAGCCCTTGTCTCTTGATTATCAAATCGGATTACTCTGGAGAAAATGTGAAATGTCTCCAGAGACATTGTGGCTCAAAATATAGCCCTGCCTGTCTCTGCATCCCACAGACTGGCTGTCGATTCATCCTTCGACTTACAGACCCCAACCAGGGTGAGGAGCCCCAAATACGCATCTAAACGCCTTTTGTCCAGCTCCTTCCACTTCTCCCCAAAAACACGCCTCCCTTCAAGATTAGTCAGTTCCCAAATGATTTTCTGCATTGAATCTGGCATGACCAGCTCAAAAGCTGACTTGATGTCAGTCACATGAGTCACTGCCATCTTAGTGGGCCCTGGCACTGTCTTTATTATGTTTTCTGCAGACAGTTTTGCCTGACGCATATTTGGGGATGAAGACCACTGTATTTCACCATTTTTTTACATGAATGCCATGTTTGGAGGAATAGGAATAGCAATTCCATCATCAGGTTCAAAATCATAATCATTAGAATCAGAATTTAGCTCAAGATAGTCTTCATCTTCAGACACATCCTCCTCTGTGTGTGTGTGTGTGTGTGTGTGTGTGTGTGTGTATGTGTGTGTGTGTGTATAGGTGTGTGTGTGTGTGTGTGTATGTGTGTGTGTGAGTGAGATTGGGGTTAAACATGTCTCACAGTTGCAAAGAAAGAAATAGTCTGACATTTCTGACACCATTTTACCTCCAGTTTGACTGCTGGGTCAAATTGACCCGAACAGTATCTATGTGATATAAACATGCAGGGGGTGGTTGCAAATATGTGAGATGAACCATTTTCATATTATATGTTGATTACACTATTTAAGGCAAGCAGAAGAAGTTTCATACTGAAAAAATATTTTTAACTATTTTTCCCAGATCTTCAAACTTTAAAACGGGTCAATTTGACCCGCAACATAACAGGAGGGTTAAAAATATGTATTTTTCTACCAATGCAGATGAAACCATGAAACGTGAAGAGGCATCTATGAAGGACACAATGCATGTTTAGAGAATCACAACTGATAATCCCTGGCACTTTTGTTTCCCATTTGATTTAGTTTGATTTCCACTGACATTCTGCTAAATATTTTTTTTATCTCTGTAAAGTTTAAAAACAAACACACAACCATTCATGTTGGACTGTGCAGCTCTGTGGTAAACCTCCACTTTGACCTCTTACCTCCTGTTAAACTTAACTGTGATCATTTCCAAACTGTCTTCTGTCTGTTTTTCTCTATTACACTCTTTAGAAAATTGCTCATCTGAGTTGTTTGACCTTTGACATTTGTCAATAGAACTCTTTAGTTTTGAAATACTCTTGAGCTGTCTCCTCAAATAAAGCTGTTTCTGACCTTTGGCCTTGTTCATACTCTCCTGTTTAGCTTGGATTCACATTTGTTGGGGCTTCAGTTTAGCCCCTTATACGTCCCTGTTACAAAACAAAAGATATAATTTTGTATCTTTAGGTCTTTCTTTTTTATTTCTACACGTACACAAAAGCACATTAAAATCACGTGATGATGATTTTTTCCATAATCTAAATAATCTAATTTTATTAAATGTTGTATTTACTTAAATTTGGCTCATGTGCTGAAACAAATTTTGAGCTTGATTAGTTAGACCACATTTAGCAAGATATTGCCCCTTTGTACCACTTAGAAAATAAAGATACAATTTAGAATCTTTGGCTTTCTTTTTCAGTTCGAGTTCACCTTTCATTTATTTCAAATGTCTTGGAATATATTTTTCTCTTTTTGCTAATATAACTATCACAGCAGCTCAAATGATTGGATTTTAGCTGGTTATTCTTCTTCTTTATTCCATACGTTTTTCAGTTTTCAGCCTATTTCAACAAATAAGGTATCAAAATGTTCAGCTTCTTCCATTGAGCTATAAGTAAGACATTGGACTCTTTTCCTGATGGTTTTTTTTATGTCTTTGGCTTTTTCAGCCTTTCTTTGTTATCTTCTAGCGCCCTCTTGTATTCTAAAATATTTTAAATTTCAGCTCATTCAAATTTTTGTAATGTATTCCTATGCTGCCCAGTTGACTGGGGTATAGCTCAATGATAGAGCATTTAACTGCAGATTGAGAAGTTGCTGGTTCAATTCCCACCAAAATGTTGTTGATAATATTGTGGCCTTTTCCTAATTTTTTCTACATCATATTTTTTTGCCATTCTTCTACCACTCTTCAGTTCTTCTAATCCTTTTTTACCTTTCTTCCTCCACTCTTCAGTTCAATGTCTTTTTAAGCTTTTCTTTGGCTTCTTCTGCTTAGCTGTTGTTCGGGCACCAACCATTACAGTACTCAGCAGGGGGTGCCTGGAAAGCCTTAATTTTGTCCCTTCACAGTGAC